TCTAAGTTCGACTTGGGAATTTTTTTGTTCAATAATAAATGTGAATTCTTCTTCCTGGAAAAAATAAGACATTCCCTGAAAATAAGACCTAGCGCATTTTTCAGAGCAAAAATTAATATAAGACACTGTCTTATTTTCGGGGAAACACGGTATTATAAATTTTAAACTAACATTTTTCATGTAAAATAAAAATTAATTTTTTCCAGTAATAATATAAACTTTTCTATATAGTTCATTTGTAATTTTTTACATTAAAACAGAAATACAAACATTATATAAATATAAAACAAGCAATTATTTATTGTGACATCATTGTGATGTTGAGCTACAATTTTTAAATTTTTTAAATTTATTGACAAGACTATGTCTTGTTTATAAAATTGTACTGCCTGCTGTATTACCAGCTTAGAGGTATGAAGGAGTGCATGTCAGGAGTTACAATTTGGCACAGAGTATTAGGAGCCCAATCATGCGCACATAAAAAAAACCCAGACTTGTAGGTACTCAGGGGACCAAGAACCGAGTCAAAATAAAATACAAAATGGCAACACCACTCTCTATAAACAGGCAAACCGAACTCAGGTGGTGAGAGTATCACCTAAAATTGTTCTAGGAATTGGACTCTGACCCTAGGACTGAACACACAGTATTTTCTTTGTTAAATAAAATTTGTAATCTAATTTTGTAAATTTGGGAGTGCTTCAAATATGACATTAAAACAGGGTTTTATGTCGTTATACGTAGGTTTTTAAACATTATCTAGTATAGTAAAATTGTGGGACCGATAAAAATTTGCCGTTATATTAGGGTTGTCATTACATCCGATGACATTATAAACAGGTTAAACTGTATATTGTTTAGGCAAAATAAAAAAATAATTTCGGACGATACAATAGCCATGATTATTTTTTCAAAAACGGGAAATTTTCGTTACGCATCAACAAAAATTCAACCTGGGCCAACACGCAACAGAGAGAAATTTCAAAATTGGATAGGTTAATTTCATTGAAAATGCATCGTGGACAACCCCCTGGTTGTGGCAGCAAAGTTTGAGCAATCGCGCCCAAAGGCAGCAATACCAAAGAAGATTGGAGAATGAGAATCAGACTCGCCTTGAGCATCAAGTGATTCCACTTAGTAGTGAATCTCCGAGACATAGTCTTGTCCAAAATACGGTTTTGCCGTTTTACTTGTTTAATTTAAAATATATGCTCTCTACCTCAAATTAGTAATGTCTTGGCCCTGTACATCACACTTTTCCTGTTAGCAATAAAATCATGCCAGTCATCTATCAACTCCTTTCAGGTGAAAATTTTTTAATTAAAATAAAGTGACTTCCAGTCGGCATCGTAAGTTCATATATAGTGTCTCTAATGTTTCCATATCAGGTCTTGGTTTTCATCTACTTATCTTCATTCTCAAGATTAAGGAAGGGCAGACAATGGACAACAGTAGGAATTGATAAGTCTACAATTTTTTCAAATTGCAGTCCAATTAAATATAATTGAAACAAATATTTTTATCATCATCAATACATTCAGATGTATATATAAAATAGTTGTGTTAAAATGAAATAAGTGTTCATACATATAGTATAAAATTAAAATAATATTACTGTGCAATATCTAGTTGTGCTTGAAGACTTCCTGCTTGCTTTCTTGCATTCACTGCTCTCTCTATAGCAGCAGTAAGTTGTTGTTCATGATCTTTAAAAATTCTGGATAGCCTAAAATTATATTTTGGATCAATATATTAATATAATTTACACACACACACTGCTCCCTTCTATCAATAAGTTTTGAGACAGTGGTTGTAAGACATTATTATTAGAAAAAAACAGTTGTACAATACCATTTTCAAAGTACTTTCCTTCTCAAGCTATGCACTTCTGTGATTATCTGTACCACTGCTGTAAGCAGTCAGCAAAGCCATTTTTTGCAACAATCTTTTACAATGACAGCTTTACTGTAGTTACTTGAACCTTATCACTTGTGAAGCATTGACCTTTCAGCTGTTCCTTCATCCTGGAGAAAAGAAACAAATCTGCAGGTGCTAGATTGTGAGGCAAAAGACACATTGTTCCTAAACAAGTACTCTGCAACTAGAGTGGATTGATGCGCTGGTACATTGTCATGGTTTAGATGCTAGGCTCAAAGATTGAATAGGTTCAATAAGCAAAAAAATCAGAATGTATTGTGACTTTATAGAAACAGCCACAAGAAATTTTACATTCTGGCTGTTTATAAAGAGCCACTATGTTATCTAGCACTTTAAAAAAATGCTACAATGTGAAATTTGTGTTGTGACAGTTAAAAATATGACTACAACACATTCTAGCATTAACAACCTCTAAGGAGTTTAAAAGATCAACAGCAAAATTCATTTATTTTTGCAGGAATTGTGAATCTGACCAAAGAGATAGCAAACTCGAGGACACATCATATATGTTGATGTTGTTATTGTAAGCAATTGTAAACTTTGAGCCAAACATAGGTTCATCTTTTAGAAGCCCACAACTCTGCTTGATTTTATTGAATTTCATCACAAAGGTATATCAAAATCTCTGTTTACATGACTTTGTTCAAGGCACAACATCTGATAAGTTTCAAGAAGCCAAGGTGTAATTATCAAGGTGGCTTAAAAACTAGCTAAGCTGACTGCTTCCAGCAATGGTATTGATGTTGGCAGACTGCATACCTGCAGAAGGGAAGTACTTCAAATTGGTATTGTGTAACTCTTTTCCTTCAATAAATAATTTATTATAACCTCTGTCTTAAAATTTATTGATAGAAGGTAGTGTAATAACAATAATAATAAACATTCATATAACAACTCAGAAATACGCAGTTACAAGTCTTGTATGTGTTTTAGTGTTACAAGTTGTAAATAATTTACTCAAACATTTAGTATATAAAATTTTTACTTTTATACCAAGATTAAAATATTTATTAATATCAAACACTTTTATTAAGTTTTTCATGATTAATAATAATTGAAATATAATACAGGATTGTGAAACAGTTAAAGAAAAGAACCTGAAAAACTATCAAGAGTTTAATTATTACAAAATCAACTTTTCAAAAATATAAAAATTTTATATTTAAAACTTACAAATAATAATAATAAATAAAACAGTATTCATGCAACTGTCAAGTACTTTAATTAAATCATATTAAAAACAATAACAGACTAGTCTATTAATATTTAGGATATAAAAATGTATATTTTAATTATATTAGATAAATAATATCAGTAGCTAATATTTTGTTGTTGTTATTTGTAGAATGGGCTAGAATTTCAACATATTTTCATCATATTTTCATTTAATGACTGAAACTTTTAATAATAATAATAAAAAAAAGAGACATTTTTAACAATTATTATCTGGCCAGTTGCAGATTCTAAATAAATAGCCTTATTTTACTTATTTTATTTTTTGCCCTTACAGCATCTAAATTTATTACTGTTTGAGTGCCTATCACTTTAAAATTTCATGTTCATAATCTGTATTTTGATTATTATTAGTTTTGAAGCAGTTAGTTTTAAAATTAAAGAAATGTATTTGGCAGTAATAAATATTCTATTCTTTATATGTAAAATTCTTATAAATAATTAATAAATTCAAGAAGAGTAACTAATATTTCTACAAATTCAATAGCTTATACTGTCCATCAGAACATAATTGAAGAACGATAATACATTTTAAATAACAGACTTGTTGGAACGTTACTTCCGATTGGATAATAGAACTTCACGTGGTCAATATAAAAATATTTTTTTTTAAATTTGTTATAGAAGTGGCACAATGTGGCTATCTTTTAAAGTTTAAATTTAATGAAGTAAGTTTAAAATATGCCATTTGCCAAAATATTTAAAAATGCAACTTAGGGAAATTCTGTTCCAATCATGAACTAAATGAGGTCGTCTATGTCACTGCAATGTAGGTGGGATCACCAATCCAAAATCAATAAAACATTTATTCTAAAGCTAATATTTCCACAAAATAAGTAGCTTATACTTTCTGTCAGAATGTAAAACAAACATAACCAAAATTTCATTTGGATTGGACAAGAATTGCAGGAGTTATAAGGAATTCACACATACACAGATGATGTTTTTATATTATTAATTCTAATAATTTAAATATGAAAATTCTTTAACGTTATGAAATATGAACAATTTTCATTTATAATGTAATTAAATATGAACAACATTTTCAATATTATAATGGCTTTCACATTTTAGCTGATCATATAAAGGCTATTTTTGTATCTTTAAATAAATTTAACTATACAATATCATAAATCTTTTTGTAGAGCCTATGTAGTCAACAATTCTAAATTTAGAATATTCTAATACAGGAAATATATTTTATTTATCAAAATACTTTTTTCAAATACAGTAGAACCCTAATTATCCAAAGTAATGTGAACCAATGCTGCCTTGAATAAAACAGACAGCCATAGCCACTTTGGAATAAAAATTACAAATATAAGACCTATACAGTATCACTTTTAAATCTCTTCTTATGCCTTAGTGAATTTAATCATTGAATGCCAAATGATACTGTATAGTATCATTTGGCATTCAATGATTGGCTATTTTCAGCTACATTAAGAATTAATTTTGAGTAATTTGTTACTAGAGGAACATGTTAAATATTAATTTATTCTAATTATTAAATTAAATAAGAGATGGTGCCTAATTCTACCTCTAGTAACAAATTACTTAAATTAATAATGCAGCCGAAAAAATAGTCCAATGCATTACGGTATCATTTGGCATTAACTAATAATGTCAAGTATTGAGATGTTTATGTATATTTAATCATTGCATCTTTTATCATACAGGTAATATGATAAAAGAACAAATAGTTTTATTCTTTATATTCTTAAAACTGCTTTTACAACAGTTTTAAGAATAAAGAAGTGTATTATTATAGTTACATTTTAATATGAATGGTTTATCTCACATTAAAGTCAAATGATAAAAGGTAATAAACAAATAATTTTGTAATAATCATTTTAAGTGTTTTTAAAAAGTCATTTAGAATTTTTTGTTTTATAGCAGTTCCTCCCTTCTTTGTTATAATGTTTCACAGTAACCTATCATTTTTCATGGACAGTCTGTCACAAATATGTCAGGTCACCATTTGGCTCACCTATTCACTTTTGGCTGCCCTAAAAGTGGGTTGGAAGAAAGGTTCTCTTAGTTCCCATAGAACAGGAAGAGTAAAAAAAAAGTCCCTTGATACCAAGCTGACTTTTTTTAACTCTTTCTGTTATGCTGACATTTTTTTTAGCTCTTCCTCAATACAGTTGAGGTAAAAAGTATAATTACTACAGTATTTACATGCTCAGTGCATTCAAGGCAAAGTTTTTTTGAATAATAAGAAAAGTAATATATTCCACTAACAGATTTGCTTTGGATAATGTGAAACCTTGGTTAATCAGGGCTTAGATAATTGGGGTTCTACCATATTTTTTTAGAAGCATTTTTTAAAAATTATTATAAATTTACCTGTCTTTATGTTCTTCAATTAACAGGTTATATCTCTCAACTGAATTTCTTCTATTTTCTTTTAATTCTACTTCAAGCTAAATTAAAATAATTGCAATGTAAAACAATGAAAATGCAGCAAACATGTAGCAAAATAGTAAGGATATTAACTAAATCATTTTAGAAATTATATTATTATTTATGAATTGCATAAAATGTGTTAAATTACCTCTTTGACCTTAGATTTAAAAGAATCAACTGTGTTTTTATATTGACTCAAACAATCTTGTAATAAAATAAGAAGGCCCTCTAGACTATCTGGTATTGCCTCGTTAACAGAAAAAGTAGGAAGATGTTCACAAAGCAAATTCTTCATTACAGCAGCTGTATGATTTAAAGATTTCAACTGCTTAGGATCAACATCACTCCAAATACTCTGTAAATTAAACTGCTTATATTAATATATAAAAAAAAGAATTAAACATTTCAAATAGTTACTTAAATAAATTACATGAAAAACATATTGATTAGATAATCTGGAATAATGTACTTTAATTAAAATATATTTCTTTACTGTATTTCAAGTTCTATGAACTATATTACAGACAAGTGATACTGATCTGCATGCATATAAGAATTTTAATCTGAAGTTCTTTATTGCTATTTTCTTCAAATTATTTTTATAAATATAATGTTTTCTATGGTAATATTTAATGCAAGTTTTATCGCTTTAGAAAATTGTATCATGTGTAAGAAATATAATCCTCTTTCTTCTTTTCCATCATGTACTATTTATCAAATTTACAATTATATCTGAAAATCCTCAGACGAACACATTAATATGAAAATTAGTTTCAATGTTTGCATCATCTTTTATTTGTTATATGAAATATAATAAATATAAAAAATACTTTTTTTAACTATAATAAATTATAAATTATTTGTGCAAAAGTTTTATATATTAAACATTTTTATAATGGATATAAATAAAGATGTGTAAGCAAAAAATTCTGCACAAAAATCAAATTTCTTTATTTTTACAATGTGATTATCCATGAATAGAACAGCAGAGTTTGGATTTGATGTGTTGTTTCAGTTCTAATCACTCTCACACATCTTTTGTTTCAGCTGGTGTCAGAATCATTCAACTGGTTGCAGCTGAGAAACATTTAAAACATTGTTCTCTTTGCTGATGTAATGGATTCCATATTTCTCTACCATGGAAACTGTATCTGTTGCATAATGCGTAGCTGCAAGGTTTGGCCTAAGACATACAGGCCATTAGTGTGGCGTTTCTTGAGGAATGAGACCACTCTTCTCATTTACTCCTTTATGAACATTTCCTTGTTTAATGCAAGGCAAGAGAGTGCTAAGAATGTTTCAGATCTTCCTTTTGGATTAATTGATACCCAAACAAGAAATTTTGCATGGCATTTAAATTTTAGATGAGGATCAACCACAATGCCATCCTTACAATAGTACCGTACATGTTATTCCCAGCAAATTCACTTCTGTCAAAGATAAAATAGAACTTACTGTCCATAACAATGTCCAGTCCATTCAAAACCTCAAAATCACCCTCATGCATTTTTTACAACACAGCCCTTTCTGATTCAAGTTGTTTTTCAGTATATTTTGTGGCTGATTTCCTTCAAGAGGTTAACATTTTGTTTGACTAGAAAGTCTGTAACATACTGATAAGATATTTTGAACTTTCTTCTAAGTTTTCTTAGCAATTGTCCAACTTTTCCAATCATGTCTCTTTCCAAAGATTCCCTTTGTCTATCTGTCATTTTAATTTTCTTTTGTCCACTCCCTGGACATCTAGCAACAGTCTTATCATTTTCCAGTCTTTTTATGATGCTGTAAACTGTCCTTCTTGCCATTTCCTAATTCCTGTGAAACTCTCTTTTTTATCATTTTATTTTTAAAATTTACCAATTATACTTCTCTGCTCCTCATTAAGCTGCTCCATTTTATTTACATTTGGAATATTGCTGCCATGACTAAAGGAATTTAAATGTATAGGGTCTGTGCAACAGTGGCGTGCCGTGACATTTGATGACAGGGAAGCTGTGTTTCTGTAAGAAGCCGACTTCCAGGGGCAATCAGTTAATTCTTTAAATGTATTTTTAATAGATTATTTATCTGACGTAATTAATAAATAGTTATTAATAAAGTTCAATATATTTACCTCTGTTATTAGATTCAATAGATTCCCTATGCCCTCTAAATGCCGATTCTTGCTTTGATAAAAACATATAACATCTATTAATTTAAATATATCTCAGTTATAATTTTCAATATTTATTTTATACTGTTTACTAATGTTAAATTCTATTGCGCTTTGATTTCCAAATTGCTTCAAATACGAAAGAATCGACAATTTTTTGCATCTTTTGCCAGCTAAATTGTCAAAGCCATTCTTATTCCACACACTAATTTCATTTGAAAATAGTAGGCAAGCCAACAAAACAATTTTTGCATTTTTGTGCATTTACAGAACGATTTTGTCATGAAAATGTTGAACAAATTTTTTTATTGAAGTGTTTATATTTAACTTAGGCATTGGCCTTTCTCTTTTAATAATGTTTTCTTTTTCATTATATGATCTCGAGCCAAAACTTTTTTAAAATAAATTTTCAATATCGCAATTACATTCCGAATCGCTAGCCACGATATAAGGGCTAAAATTAAAAATAAAATTATAAAAACTTACTTGGTGAAATAAAATGTGTGGTGGATATACATACCTGGTACAAAACATTCTTCAATTGTATGAATATACTTTTAAAGAAAATTATAATTAAATATAACTTTGTAATGAAACGTACATGAAAATAACATAAAATATTCTTTACTCTTTAAATCTTAACCACTTAGTCAAATAGCTCCCTACGAGTGGAATCAGAGACGGTCCTGCTAGGTGTGCGGTGTGTACTGTACATGCACGCGGGCTGCCAAATCCCGAGGGTGCCGATACCCTCGGGATTTGGCAATGTCAAATGCTTCTTTTGTCGCATCACTAATATACCTCAAAAGACGCGACAGGGTTCTTGTAAATTTTAAACGTTTCTCACCATAGCTGTAAAAGTCTAAATATGTTAAACTTAATAGATTGTCCGTCGTTTGTTTTCTAACTAATTCGTTTTAGGACCAGGTGTTGTCCACGGAAATTTCCAAAATTTACAACTTTTCGGTCACTCTCGTTGAACTGGAAAAATTTCTGTTTATATTATGTTTAATATTACGAAGAAATCAGTCCCCACTATACTCGGCTAGAGATTGGATCGGTTAAGCTTTTGTAAAATTAAGTAAAATTTCGGCTTTTTCATCAGGGTTTTGTTTATGTCCCTAATTCCCTAATAGCTTAATTATTTAACTACTTCTTAAGTAGAAATAAGTCGGAACCAGTTACTTTGTCCTCGAATATTTGTAGTCTTGGGAAAAAAGTGGAAAGACAAATTTTTATGACAACAAATACATAAATCATAAATTTAAGCAAAATAAATTCTAGAGTTTTTTCTGTACCTTGTGCATCTCTCTCATTCATTGAATTTAGTTGTAAATGATGCTACCAAAGTAACAGTTAATTTTTTAACACTGTACAAGAATTGTACATGTTTTCTTCTACATTCCCTTATAGATGAGACATACAAAATCGTAATATCACTGGCTTAACATTGAAATCTGTAAGTAACATAAGATGGGAGAGCGGAATAAAAGCAGAATAAATATATCAAATATTTTAATGAATTTTTTTTTTAACTTTTGTCAACTACACAGAACTATCATAAAAACATACAAGTAAATTCTTATCGAATGGGTTAAGTTATAAATCTACTCATGATTCACATAATGGTGCAAGGGCAGCCAAATATCTAGCAGGCAGGCGACTAACAGCCCAGAACCGGTCCTGGATAGAATTGGAAGCGTTATATGTGTAGCATCCAACCAAGGTCCTAGGCTTCCACCAGCTAAACTGGGTGAGGTTAGTGCTCTGTAAAGCGCATGCGTGAATTTTTTCGGATGCTGACGATACAGTGCTTCCACTCCGCCACTAATATTCGAATGTACAATAGCAATCTTATCTTTTTTTTCACGTGTAGTATAGAAATTTGTAATAAGATATAATGCGGTTATAATAAAATATTGTGCGATTATTTTCATATAATTAAAATTAATATGTATTTATTTTTTATAAAATACAAGGGAAGCGGTGTTTCCACTGCTTCCAATGACAACACGCCACTGCTGTGCAACAATCTACCCTAGCACACATTCAAATTTATTTTTTTAAAAAGATATGCCTGCCAAATTGTGCAGATTTTTAGTTTACACACCTATAGTTAATTAAAAATTTTTTATATTTAAATTAAAAAATATACTAAATAAATTATATATGTTTAATAAAATGATTAAATCTAAATGATAAATTTGTTTTTAATTGTAAAGCTTACCAATAAAGAAAAAATATCAGATATGTAGTAATCTTTTGACTCGCATTCTATATTTTTATCTTCAGAAAGAATCGCTGAAGTGTTTGCATCCATTAACATAGTTGCATCATTGCCAGATTCTTCATTGTTTTTATCAGATTGAGTTGTTTCAACAATGATGCTTAGTTCACTCGATTCTTTAGTAAAATTCTGAGTATTGTTAGAACAGTCATCTTTCATTGATTGGTCAGAAATGTCTTCACTAGCAACAAAAGTATCTGCATTTTCAGTCTGTGAACGATCAATAGAATTAAATAAATCTTTCTTTTTTTGTAGTAAAAGTTGGATATTTTTAAACTCATTCAAATCTTGTTTGTGATCAGATTCATTACTTTCTTTCAGAAAAAGTTTTAATGAAGAATTATTATTAGTATCTTCTTCACTGTTAAGAGCTTCCCTCTTTTCATTGGCATTATCACTTTTGTTAATAATTGATGAAAAGTTTTCAATTAAAGATTCATCAAGAATTTCATTATCATCCATAATTTTTTGATATGTAAAATATTATAGCAAAGTATTTACACATTTTTAGTAAAATTACATTTTATAGTTTATTTAATATATTATGAATAAATTGTATATTCCAAAATATAAAAATATATGTATAATATTTTTAAAACACTTTCTTGGTGTCATTCATTGAAAATAAAGACTTTATTTTATAGTCAATGTTCTTCTTACTAACATTCTATTTTCAAATCTGAAACAGAAAACAGAACATAAAAAACAATTAAATGTAATTTTTCTAATCTTTTCATGTACTGTAAAATACAATCTTGATAATCCAACATACATGGGACCGGAACAGCATTGGGTTAAAAGTACAGTCAACTACCCTATAACACTTGATAATTCCGTTTTATATGAATTCCATGTTGTACGAGTCACTTAGATTTTACCAATACATGTGCCGGGCTGTGAACGGCTCACGTATTTGTAAAATCTAAGTGACTCGTACAACATGGAATTCATATAAAACTGAATTATCAACAGTGTTATAGGGGGTCGACTCTATGGCAAATTGGCACATAAATGAATTTGACAGCATAGAATCAGCTGTTAATAATGCAGTAAAACACAAGTTGGACTACTTATCAAAACATCTGAGTGTGTCATGGTTAATCAATGTTGCCAAGATGGTGGATTCCCACTACATTTACTGGGATATTGAAGTGACCATGGGAAATTTCAGAGGACTGATTTTTTTATACTTATACAGTATTTTGTTATAAGAAACTATAGTATCTTTTTTTGAGCAATCTAAGATAAAGAACCTGACAATCTTTAATACTTTGTCCAAGCTCAGGCTTGATATCATGCCATGTTTAGTGGGAAGATATTCAAATTTTATGGAAGTTACAATTTGAACTAGTTAGAAGTTTGTGACTTGGCAACAGTATCAGTAATACCCAGGGTTGAGAGTGTTGGGTTACTGAATGCATCAAACTAGCAAACAGTCAGATTATCAAGATTGTAATGTAATTTAAAAACTTACTTATTTTAAAACTCATAACAAATAGAAAGATATATTTAACTAGTTATTACAAGAATCTCTTCCTATGCTAATCCAATTTAGACTGCATTTCTTTGAGTAAAATCTTACTAGAAAATTTATAAACTTTCAAGCTTTATGTTCACCATCAGACTGCCACTGGATAGCAAAGGAGGTTGAGAGATCAGCCTAAGATGAAGGTGGTCAAAAAACCCCAAGAATTTTTCAGGGGGTGATCTATTCCAGATATGTAGTGTCCTATCCCTTACCATCTGAGCACTTTATTGTGGGCCCAAAAAAGAGCTTCTTAGCATCCACAGAACAAAAGAGTAAAACAAAATGATATACTTGCCACCATACGTCAACAACAGAAATAACTATAAGAGAAGTCATATATTATTCATTGCTAGTAATTTTTACTAGTAATCAATATTAGTAATGTTTTTTGGAAAGTTATATTATGTTGACAATCTACACTTTGAATATATTTTTAATGCTCACAAATTACACTTTTTCCCAAACTGGCTCCAATCCATCTTTGATTCAAACTATAGTGGTCCCACTTTTACTAATTTTCTCCAAATCTTCTGGAATATTCATACTAATGGTGTCTATTCAGTACTCCTCCTCCCAATCTATAAATATTTTTATGACTTTATGTATAATTATTGGGTTGCAATTTGAAAAAATAGTAGACCTATAAATTCCTTAATCTTGAGAACGGAGTTAGAGGAAAATCGTGACCAAGAGGCTCCAATTAACTATATATGAACTTCCAATGCAAATAGAAGTCATATTATTCAATTAAAAACTTTTCTCCCTGAAAGGAGTTAGTAGATGACAGCACAACACTATTGCTAACAGGAAAAGGATGATGTACAGGCACAAGACACTACTAATTTTAGGTGGAGGGCATATATTTTAAATTAAATAATTTTAAAAATATGAGTTAGGCATTGTGATGACATCACAGTAAATAATTTTTTNTAATTAATAAATTCAAGAAGAGTAACTAATATTTCTACAAATTCAATAGCTTATACTGTCCATCAGAACATAATTGAAGAACGATAATACATTTTAAATAACAGACTTGTTGGAACGTTACTTCCGATTGGATAATAGAACTTCACGTGGTCAATATAAAAATATTTTTTTTTAAATTTGTTATAGAAGTGGCACAATGTGGCTATCTTTTAAAGTTTAAATTTAATGAAGTAAGTTTAAAATATGCCATTTGCCAAAATATTTAAAAATGCAACTTAGGGAAATTCTGTTCCAATCATGAACTAAATGAGGTCGTCTATGTCACTGCAATGTAGGTGGGATCACCAATCCAAAATCAATAAAACATTTATTCTAAAGCTAATATTTCCACAAAATAAGTAGCTTATACTTTCTGTCAGAATGTAAAACAAACATAACCAAAATTTCATTTGGATTGGACAAGAATTGCAGGAGTTATAAGGAATTCACACATACACAGATGATGTTTTTATATTATTAATTCTAATAATTTAAATATGAAAATTCTTTAACGTTATGAAATATGAACAATTTTCATTTATAATGTAATTAAATATGAACAACATTTTCAATATTATAATGGCTTTCACATTTTAGCTGATCATATAAAGGCTATTTTTGTATCTTTAAATAAATTTAACTATACAATATCATAAATCTTTTTGTAGAGCCTATGTAGTCAACAATTCTAAATTTAGAATATTCTAATACAGGAAATATATTTTATTTATCAAAATACTTTTTTCAAATACAGTAGAACCCTAATTATCCAAAGTAATGTGAACCAATGCTGCCTTGAATAAAACAGACAGCCATAGCCACTTTGGAATAAAAATTACAAATATAAGACCTATACAGTATCACTTTTAAATCTCTTCTTATGCCTTAGTGAATTTAATCATTGAATGCCAAATGATACTGTATAGTATCATTTGGCATTCAATGATTGGCTATTTTCAGCTACATTAAGAATTAATTTTGAGTAATTTGTTACTAGAGGAACATGTTAAATATTAATTTATTCTAATTATTAAATTAAATAAGAGATGGTGCCTAATTCTACCTCTAGTAACAAATTACTTAAATTAATAATGCAGCCGAAAAAATAGTCCAATGCATTACGGTATCATTTGGCATTAACTAATAATGTCAAGTATTGAGATGTTTATGTATATTTAATCATTGCATCTTTTATCATACAGGTAATATGATAAAAGAACAAATAGTTTTATTCTTTATATTCTTAAAACTGCTTTTACAACAGTTTTAAGAATAAAGAAGTGTATTATTATAGTTACATTTTAATATGAATGGTTTATCTCACATTAAAGTCAAATGATAAAAGGTAATAAACAAATAATTTTGTAATAATCATTTTAAGTGTTTTTAAAAAGTCATTTAGAATTTTTTGTTTTATAGCAGTTCCTCCCTTCTTTGTTATAATGTTTCACAGTAACCTATCATTTTTCATGGACAGTCTGTCACAAATATGTCAGGTCACCATTTGGCTCACCTATTCACTTTTGGCTGCCCTAAAAGTGGGTTGGAAGAAAGGTTCTCTTAGTTCCCATAGAACAGGAAGAGTAAAAAAAAAGTCCCTTGATACCAAGCTGACTTTTTTTAACTCTTTCTGTTATGCTGACATTTTTTTTAGCTCTTCCTCAATACAGTTGAGGTAAAAAGTATAATTACTACAGTATTTACATGCTCAGTGCATTCAAGGCAAAGTTTTTTTGAATAATAAGAAAAGTAATATATTCCACTAACAGATTTGCTTTGGATAATGTGAAACCTTGGTTAATCAGGGCTTAGATAATTGGGGTTCTACCATATTTTTTTAGAAGCATTTTTTAAAAATTATTATAAATTTACCTGTCTTTATGTTCTTCAATTAACAGGTTATATCTCTCAACTGAATTTCTTCTATTTTCTTTTAATTCTACTTCAAGCTAAATTAAAATAATTGCAATGTAAAACAATGAAAATGCAGCAAACATGTAGCAAAATAGTAAGGATATTAACTAAATCATTTTAGAAATTATATTATTATTTATGAATTGCATAAAATGTGTTAAATTACCTCTTTGACCTTAGATTTAAAAGAATCAACTGTGTTTTTATATTGACTCAAACAATCTTGTAATAAAATAAGAAGGCCCTCTAGACTATCTGGTATTGCCTCGTTAACAGAAAAAGTAGGAAGATGTTCACAAAGCAAATTCTTCATTACAGCAGCTGTATGATTTAAAGATTTCAACTGCTTAGGATCAACATCACTCCAAATACTCTGTAAATTAAACTGCTTATATTAATATATAAAAAAAAGAATTAAACATTTCAAATAGTTACTTAAATAAATTACATGAAAAACATATTGATTAGATAATCTGGAATAATGTACTTTAATTAAAATATATTTCTTTACTGTATTTCAAGTTCTATGAACTATATTACAGACAAGTGATACTGATCTGCATGCATATAAGAATTTTAATCTGAAGTTCTTTATTGCTATTTTCTTCAAATTATTTTTATAAATATAATGTTTTCTATGGTAATATTTAATGCAAGTTTTATCGCTTTAGAAAATTGTATCATGTGTAAGAAATATAATCCTCTTTCTTCTTTTCCATCATGTACTATTTATCAAATTTACAATTATATCTGAAAATCCTCAGACGAACACATTAATATGAAAATTAGTTTCAATGTTTGCATCATCTTTTATTTGTTATATGAAATATAATAAATATAAAAAATACTTTTTTTAACTATAATAAATTATAAATTATTTGTGCAAAAGTTTTATATATTAAACATTTTTATAATGGATATAAATAAAGATGTGTAAGCAAAAAATTCTGCACAAAAATCAAATTTCTTTATTTTTACAATGTGATTATCCATGAATAGAACAGCAGAGTTTGGATTTGATGTGTTGTTTCAGTTCTAATCACTCTCACACATCTTTTGTTTCAGCTGGTGTCAGAATCATTCAACTGGTTGCAGCTGAGAAACATTTAAAACATTGTTCTCTTTGCTGATGTAATGGATTCCATATTTCTCTACCATGGAAACTGTATCTGTTGCATAATGCGTAGCTGCAAGGTTTGGCCTAAGACATACAGGCCATTAGTGTGGCGTTTCTTGAGGAATGAGACCACTCTTCTCATTTACTCCTTTATGAACATTTCCTTGTTTAATGCAAGGCAAGAGAGTGCTAAGAATGTTTCAGATCTTCCTTTTGGATTAATTGATACCCAAACAAGAAATTTTGCATGGCATTTAAATTTTAGATGAGGATCAACCACAATGCCATCCTTACAATAGTACCGTACATGTTATTCCCAGCAAATTCACTTCTGTCAAAGATAAAATAGAACTTACTGTCCATAACAATGTCCAGTCCATTCAAAACCTCAAAATCACCCTCATGCATTTTTTACAACACAGCCCTTTCTGATTCAAGTTGTTTTTCAGTATATTTTGTGGCTGATTTCCTTCAAGAGGTTAACATTTTGTTTGACTAGAAAGTCTGTAACATACTGATAAGATATTTTGAACTTTCTTCTAAGTTTTCTTAGCAATTGTCCAACTTTTCCAATCATGTCTCTTTCCAAAGATTCCCTTTGTCTATCTGTCATTTTAATTTTCTTTTGTCCACTCCCTGGACATCTAGCAACAGTCTTATCATTTTCCAGTCTTTTTATGATGCTGTAAACTGTCCTTCTTGCCATTTCCTAATTCCTGTGAAACTCTCTTTTTTATCATTTTATTTTTAAAATTTACCAATTATACTTCTCTGCTCCTCATTAAGCTGCTCCATTTTATTTACATTTGGAATATTGCTGCCATGACTAAAGGAATTTAAATGTATAGGGTCTGTGCAACAGTGGCGTGCCGTGACATTTGATGACAGGGAAGCTGTGTTTCTGTAAGAAGCCGACTTCCAGGGGCAATCAGTTAATTCTTTAAATGTATTTTTAATAGATTATTTATCTGACGTAATTAATAAATAGTTATTAATAAAGTTCAATATATTTACCTCTGTTATTAGATTCAATAGATTCCCTATGCCCTCTAAATGCCGATTCTTGCTTTGATAAAAACATATAACATCTATTAATTTAAATATATCTCAGTTATAATTTTCAATATTTATTTTATACTGTTTACTAATGTTAAATTCTATTGCGCTTTGATTTCCAAATTGCTTCAAATACGAAAGAATCGACAATTTTTTGCATCTTTTGCCAGCTAAATTGTCAAAGCCATTCTTATTCCACACACTAATTTCATTTGAAAATAGTAGGCAAGCCAACAAAACAATTTTTGCATTTTTGTGCATTTACAGAACGATTTTGTCATGAAAATGTTGAACAAATTTTTTTATTGAAGTGTTTATATTTAACTTAGGCATTGGCCTTTCTCTTTTAATAATGTTTTCTTTTTCATTATATGATCTCGAGCCAAAACTTTTTTAAAATAAATTTTCAATATCGCAATTACATTCTGAATCGCTAGCCACGATATAAG